GGGGGGGGGGGGGCGGGGAGGGCCCGGAAGATCTGACGTGAATGAGGCCAAGCTTCTGCGCCGCGAAACTCATTCATTCGACACGGATTTGTTGGGCGCTGGGGACCCGCGGGTGAATGGGACAGGCGCGGTCCCAGCCCTGACGGGGCCGGGGCGGGGTGGGGGGTGGGGCACTGCGCGGCAGGATCTCACATGTCTGCTGGGGGATACCTTCCGCGGCCTGGGGGGGAGAGAGGTGACCTCCAAGCCCAGGGGAGGGAGGGGGGTGGTTGGGACCGTGTAAACCTGGAGGAGGGGAGGCCCGAACCCGAGGGAGAACTCCTCAGAGCACAGGGAGGCCGCAGGCGGGGTAAGATCTGAAACCCGAGAGAAGGGCCAGGGCCAGTGGGGACCGGCCTGCCCCTCTCGCCAAGGAGCTGGGCCTCTGGGCTTTAAGCAGAGGGGTGACGGGGGCAGATCTGCTTTCTCTGTTTCTCTGTCCTCCGTGCGGGGGGTGGCCTTCCTGTGGAGGGGTCCTCCTGGGGGGACTCGAGGCTGAGGCCAGTGGCCAGGGCTCCACCTGGATGGAGAGAGGCAAGAAAGCGAGTCCACGAGGCCTTCCCTGGCCATGGCCATCTACAATGTCAGTATGTTGGGACCTCTCCTGTCTCCTAACCAGCTTTAACCTTTTCTCCTTGGCAACCTACCACAGACGAACCGTCTGCTTTATTGGTTGTGTTTATTTCTTGTGTGTCCCCTCCCCTGTAGTGTGAGCTCCCTGAGGGCGGGGTTCTTGTCTTATTTGTAGTTGTATCTCCAACCCCTAGAAGGCACCTGACTTGCAGTGGTCACTCCAGCCAACCTCCCTGATGAGAAAGAAGGGCCTGGGGGCCTGGGGGTGGACAGAGCATGGGAGGAAGAGGCAAGGCTCAGGTGGGGGGGGCAGGGTTTCTTTTTCCCACCACTTTGGCACAGCATTCAGACCTCAAGGGGCCCGGGGTGCACAGAGGAACTGAGGAGTGCCTCTCAGCCCCCAGGTGCCCCCTCCTGCCTCCAAACATGGCCCATTCCCGAGTCCCCTCCCTACACTGCCTTGCCCCAGGAAGCCTTCAGATGGGCATATACTTGCCAGCCACGTTCATCAAGGAATGTGGTGGGGACAGACCTGGAGAAGGGGGAACATTGCCCAGGCTCTGCCCTGGAGCGCAGTGGCCAGTGTGTGGCCTCGCAGGGGCGCAGCAAGGTGGGGCTTAGAGAACCAGGGAGAGGTGGGGGGTAAGTCAGACTCAGCATCCGTTGGTTTATTTAACTGGATCACTTGGCTGCAGTTCCCAGCCCTGATTCCCAGCAGGCATGGGCAGAATCAGGCCCCACGGGAGGGCGCTGCGTGGTCAACCGGGGTGGTGGTGGCCGGGTCCAGCGAGGCAGGCGAGGACAGGGGGGGGAACTGCTTAGACTCAGGTTACAGTTTGAAAGTAGAGACTGTGGGATAGCCTAATGGACTGGATGGGGGTGTGGGACAAAGAAGGGAGTCAAGGTCAATGCCAAGGATTTTGACCCGAGCAACTGTTAGAATGGTATGTCCATCACGTGCCCAGGAAGCAGGTGATGCTGGCGCCTGGAGTTCGGGGACACAGGCTGCGGGGATCAGCTGGGGAGTCATCCTGATAGAGATGGAATGTAAAGCCATGTGTCAGGATAAGGTCACTAAGGAGAGAGGGTAGACAAGGAGAGCACGGAGAACTGAGCCCTCAGGGACAGGGATGGGTCCAGAGCGGCTCCCTGAGGGTTATAAACCAGCGTGTATAAAGTAATCGAATTAACTACATACACCTGTGAAAAGCAGCCTGACGCCTCTACCTCCAGGGTGTTCTCTCATTTGTTACCAGTATCAGTGGGATTGCAAGTCACTTTATTTTCTGCCCTCATCTGTATTTTTCCCTGCATTAAAAAAAAGTGGGATGTAGGGGCGCCTGGGTGGCTCAGATGGTTAAGCGTCTGCCTTCGGCTCAGGTCATGATCCCAGGGTCCTGGGATCGAGTCCCGCATCGGGCTCCCTGCTCTGCGGGGAGCCTGCTTCTCCCTCTGCCTCTCTCTCTCTCTCTCTCTCTCTCTCTCTCTGTCTCTCATGAATAAATAAATAAAATCTCATGAATAAATAAATAAAATCTTTAAAAAAAAGTGGGATGTAATTCACATAACATGAAATCCACCGTTCTAAAGCGTGCAGTTCAGTGGTTTCAGGATATACGCTGGGTTTGTGCAACCATCACCACTACTAATTCCGGAAATTCATCTGTATTTTATACAGACTGTTTTCTACAACTAAGCACATTGCTTTTGAATAAAACAAACATTTGATCAAGTCATTTCACTCATCTGTGGGTAGCCCAGGAAAGGTGCCGTCCTGAATCACTTGCCAGAGCATCCTGATAACCCAGATACCTGGGCCCCACCCAGAAGGGGCAGATCTGATCGAGGTGAGGGCGTGGCCTGGGAATCGGCATCTTAACCCAGCCTCTGGTCAGCGGAGCGTCCCTTGTCTTATTTTATAAGCTCGCCAGGGAGAGTGACCCCAGAAGCTTGCTCAGTAGTTCTTCCAGAAAGCCCTTGGGGAACAAAAATGACGTACATGTGGTAGGCAGAGTCTGGATTAAATATTCCCTACGCCACTGCGTCCTGGGCATCGGTACCTTCCCAGCCGGATCAACAGCTCCAGCCCAGTCTCTTCCAAGTCTTCACCTGTGTGCATAATCCAGTGCGCTGAGGGGTGTGTCCATTTGGGTGTCCCTCAAATTCATCAGACCAGAAACATAACTTATCACGGCCCCCTCCCCGCAAAAAGAATCTTCTCTCCTTGGGCAAATGGCTTCTCCTATACTCTGGCTCCAGCCAGAAATCTGAAACATCTTAGACGCCTCTGCTCTCCCCAGGGACCCTACTCTCTAGATCCATCCTCTGCACCTAGTCCATTGGATTTCGCTCCCTGAATGGACCTCAAGGCTCAACACTTTCCTCTGTCCCCCCCACCCCCAGCCAGGTGAATCCAGCTACTGCCCTCTCTCAAAGCCATTTTCTCTCCTGACTCACCTCTTGCTCCCTCTCATGGGGCTTGCTCCTCCAGAGCTGGTCTCCCTTCCCCTCCCACGATAGTGACCTCCTGCACCTGCAGTGTCCAGCACAGGGACCCCTCCCACACAAAGGCCACTGAGCACATGAAATGTGGCCAGGCCAAAGGAGATTCTGAAGGTTTGCGCAAAATAAAAAGAATGAAAAATACCTCGTTAATATTTTTTAAAATGTAATGACCTATTGAACTGGTAATGTTTTGGATAGAAAGTTTCAATACCTTAAGTGTCTACTAGAAACTTTAACTGTTGGATGTCCCTTCAAGTCTCCACATAAACATCACCTCCACGGAGCCTTCTTGGCTCCTCCAGGTGAGCTCAGGTCCTCCTGGGGTGCAGCTATCCACAGGCACCTGGTCCTTGGGTTTGTGGCACTTTATATGATAAGGAGGTGTGTCCGGGGAAGTCCTTTCCTTTCCATAGGCCTGGGGGGAATCAGGGGTGTAAACGGAGGATGCCCAGGGCAGAGTCAGCTGCTGGGAGTGGGGGTGTTGAAATCTGGCCCAGTGGAGGGGGCGCAGGGGAAGAGGAGGGGTCCCACTGAGCCCCCAGCATGGAGTGTGACACGCCCCAGTCCTGGTCGGTCCTGCCCCTCATGTACTGGGTGGCTTTTGGCAGATCACTTCCCATCTCATAAGCTAATCTGATCATCTCATGGGGGGGGGCGGGGGCAGGGTTATAAGGATCAAAAATGCTTTGCACAAACACAGGACAAAGAGTTAGTATCTTTAACCTGTTAAGAACTTTCTAAGCCAGTAATTTTTTTTTTTTTAAGATTTTATTTATTTATTCGAGAGAAAGAGTGAGCGAGCATGAGTGGGGAAGGAGGAGAGGGAGAAGCAGACTCCCCGCTGAGCAGGGAGCCCAGTGCATGACCTGAGCCCAAAGGCAGATGCTTAACCGGCTGAGCCACCCAGGCGCCCCAAAGATGAGCTCTCACTAGAAAGTTGGGGAAAGAACCCGATCAGGCAACACAAGAGAAAATGCAAGTGGCCAGTCCACAGGAAAGCTGTCCCTTATAAGCCATCAAAGAAGAAGACAAATCGGCAAAAAGAAAAAAAGTTAATAATCATACCCAGTGTAGGCAAGGGAGCAAGAAAACGGGCATCCAGACATTGCCAAGCAGGGTGCAAGTTGGTACATCCTTTCTAAAGAACAGTTTGGCAGTAAATATCTGTATTCTCTGACTCAGCACTTCC